TATACGTTTATAATTATTATTAATCATGTACAAATATTCAATAAATTAAACGTTTGTTGAATAACTGTTTCTGAAAAAGTTATTGAAGAAAAATAATTTTCTTTTTATTCTGTTTACTAATTATCCGTAGTTACTGAAATTGTTCATAAATTATTATAGGTACAGTTTGACAGTTGACTGATGATGTTATAAGTCAGATGACGACCTATACACATAACCTATATATATGACTGAAATCATGGATTTTTAATTCTGGTAGTCTACAAGTCTACAAGTCTATAACCAATAACCATTAACTACCCAACTGTATTGTGAAAACTTGAAGGTTTGTTATCAGAAAAAATCAGCTAAAACAACTAAGTTAGCTTAAATTAGTATAATGTATAATAGTATTGCAATATTGGAAAGTGCTAGTACCAAAAAAATACTAAAACTAATAATTAAAACAATGTTAAAATTTCATAATTTACAGACTATTATTTAGTGTTTTTTTTCTATCTAAACATTTTTCTAGTAGAAATAATGCTTCAGATTTCAGCTTCAGCATATTTTCTTATGGGAAAGTGAATCTAGAGAGAATGAATCTTCAAAAATTGAAAATTCACAAAAGATTTTAAAAGCTTTAGGAAAAACAAAAAAAATTGAGATTTTTAAAAGATCAATTTAGTTTTTTTAATATAAGTAACTAACAAACTAATAACCGTAAATACATTATATTTTCACTATATGTGTTTAAATTAAAAATCTCTATACACCATTAAATGTTGACCTTTTTTAAGCTATTTATAGATATTAGATAATATTGATTTTATTATTTATTTTAAAAATTATTGATAAAAAATGTTCACTTGTCAAAAAACTTAGAAACTTTAATATATTGTTCCTCATCATAAGTTGTTGTCAGTGGAAATAAAAAAAAAGTTGATCGTAAAACCACAATAATGAAAGAAATACTTCAAATTGTCATCAAATGTTTATTATATCATGTCTACTCATGTTCAAATTATATTGAATCGTTTCGAGTTATTAATAGCCATTTGAAGCTTTTATTTTCTTATAGTTAATTAGAAAATATAAAAGATACAGTTGAACTGTTTATTTTATAAACATTTAAAATTCAAAATTGATCAACATTTATACAAATTTCGAAAATGTACAAATTTTTTTTTTAGTTACAAATTGAAAAAATGTTCAATTTTTATAGCTTAAATGGTTGATAATTTAAAATAAGGTTTCTAATAAGTAGTTCATCCTGTCACCAACAAATCTAAAAAATATATTAACACAGTTTTTTTTATAGGTATAAATATATTGCTACACAATAGTGCATAAAATCCCTTTTTTTAAGACATAATTGAGCAAATTATCAGCGTATCAAAGGGTATAGAAATACAAAAGAAAACCTACACGATTGAGCATAACAATACTTTTGTGATGTTGTCATTTTCAATTTTGAGCTATATTATACAAAAAATATTTATTTAAATAATTATGATAATTTAAAATATGTTAAGAGTTAACATGATTTCATAGTCAATACCTAATGATAGGAAAATTTCATAGATCTATATATTTATCTGTTTGATAATAATAATAGTTATAAAAATAATAATGTATTCTTACTTGCTGGTTTGAAATTTATAACAACAGGTTGATAATTAAATTGATATACCTTAGTATCTGTTTCCAAGTTGGCTTAAACATAGAGATTCCGTATTCTTACGATTTAAATATTGGCCGAAACACTCGAAATCTTTTATATTAAATGTTAGTTTTTTCAATACAATTGTCGATAAAGCTGGACTCTCCTCATGGCTCGTTTAGTTTGGTGTCCTAATAGTTGTTTTAATATTTGAAAATAATAAATTACAAACATTTGGCATCACGAATGTGGCAATGTTGTATAAAATACTGTATGTTGAATCGTGTTGCTAAAATAGTATATGATCAATCGTGCCACAGAATATTCTGTGATCGTGCTCTACCTAGATATTTTAAGTTAAAATGTGAAATAGTTCAAATAATTGATGCCAATAAATTATCGCACCAAAATTAAAATCAAACACAAATATTTATAATTTATAAGAACATGAGGTATGTTTATATAGATAGATGGGTATTTTTGCTACCTATGCAGAAAAAGATGCACCCGTACTGGTGTTCAAATATTTTGATGACTAATGACGATGTCAAATAATAATAATTAATGGTCAAATATTTAATATTCTACAGTACTACACTTTATAATATGATGTAAAATTATAGGTAGGTTTACTGCAATTATAAAATTTTAGCTTTACTGCACTAATAAGCGAACAATCGCGCCCGGGTAAGAATAGACAATTTTGCAAACAGCCTTATTGGCATGTCACATTATTACCGGAATATGAAAATTAAGCCAGACGTCATTGATGAGTTTCATCTAAAAAATAGAAAGTTGGATTTTTGTAATAGTTGTTACTTAATGGCTACGATTATGTATTTAATGTATATCAATCTTATATAATATAATAAAGTAATATAATATTTAAATGCCTCATAATATATTTTTAATAGGTAATATATTATTTTGTTTTAGAAAACAATATTTAATCTCTCTGATATAAAACTATAAAGGGTTTAGTATAATTTTGGAAACGTATTTATATTTTATGTTATGACATATTTCTTATTTACATAGATAAGTGTTTAATATTAGTCATCAGTCATCACAATTCTAAGGTATTTTTGGTTGAGTTGACCCACTATACAGACTCATGGCATTGTCTATCTGATATTTTGGCTTCATTATCGTGGTCTTTCAATATCGAAACTAGTTTTACATGTTTATATCATTAACACTGTTTACTGCATCTAATATTATGAACAATAAAACCTCGTTTTTAATAACAAAATCAGTGCACCCCAATATGAATATTTTATTCCCTACTTCACAAAATCAACAAGCCCAATCCCAAACTTACTTGCCATCTTCTATCAAACTTTTCATAGGGCAAAATAGCAAAATAATTCTTTTCACCTAATGTATTTTCCATATTACCGACTAGTATGGGTAATGCAGAAGTATAAATTCGTAGTATTCGTCACACTGACTGTCAAGTAATACAGTGGCGCCGATTCCCTAATTTAACTATAAAAGTAGATTTTTTAGATGGCTGGGGGCACTGTTGGCGGTAGGGTACTGCAGGGATCCCGCTGTAGAACCAGAATTTATGTTAAAATTAATGATTAAACATTTCATCATGCAAGTGCTTTGATTTGCATCTGATAATTAAATTTAAAAAAGAGGTGATGAGGGGGGGGGGCTCCTAGATGTCCGATGGCATGCTATATTTTAAACGTTTCGGCACCACAGGAGTAATATATCCATTGATCTTGGGAAACCCATTCTTAATAAGCAAATTGTCAATTCCCGAGATTTTTAAATAATATATATTAGAATTTTAACAGACTAAACTGAATTCAAAAAGTACAATTTACTGGTACTAATAGACTCTTGTGTAAGTCTACATCTTTATTTCTGGTTATGCGTCTTCACGGACATCTGAGTTATAATTCTATCTTGAATCATACGCGACCATGTGAGCAATATAAATTATAAAATGCTACCATACAGAAACTTTAAATACACTTTTCTCACCATCGATATTGCTATCCAAATTAGATCGAATAGGTCCACTTCAAATTTCTGTAATTTGCTGACCGTTGCGTCAAGCGCGGGGAAGATCACTTTTTGTACCAAACCACCAAATTCAACCCAGACATTTGTGAGTTCCGAACTTTAAGGGCGTTAAAATATATAAATCTCTGGCATAAAATTTATTATAATTAAATAAAATAATAAATATTAGGTCATTATCGCTTCTCCCAAATAAGTATACCTATAAGCCATAAGGGGATGCCATCGCACTATTTATTATCTATTTTTGGCTCACGTGAGATATACACTAAACGCATTCACTCAAAGCAATATTTTGTTTGATATTTTTGAGTAATTTTAGACTTAAGTTACACATTACTAAAATTATAGAGAATAATATTTTTGAGGATATGATGTCTAAATATTGTCTCGAAACAATTGAACATCCATTTCAATTTACAAACAATTATTTTTATTTTTTAAGTAAAATAATAATAAAATATAAAACCAATAAGTCAAATCCTCAAAAATATTATCTTTTATAGCTTTTGTAATAGGTGGTTTAATTTTAAAATTACTCAAAAATCATAAAAAACGATTTTATATTATGGTGTTTTATCTATGTTATGCGCGTGGGTCTGAGTAGCCCTTATAATAATTTCAACTAATAAAAGCCTCACTTTCAAATTCAGAAACTTGAAACGACACATGTTGAACACTTTTAAATATTTAAATCAACAAAGTTCTTAGTGATCTAAAAGCTTAATGCTATTATACATTTATGAGTTCGACCGTGCAGTGTGAGAGCGAGAGTGCGTGGAGTATTGTACCGTATATTTGTTGTAATATTATTCTTAACACTAACCAAAGAACGGTCCCATTGAAAACTACAAAATAAAAGTGTATTTCCCTTTCACGCAATATCCTCATCAGTCCGATATTCGTATAACAGCAAAAAAATAATTATTATCATTATTCATCATCACGCGCCCGAGTGACTTTTATATCACTACGTATATGATTCCACGTGCACATACAAATAGTACCTACCTATATACTTATTACCTGCAAAAATACATTAAACAAGCATTCGTAATTTGTATAATATTATAGTAAAATACGTGAACCCCAGACACACACATATACATGTCATAATATGTATCAGTGTCCATTTACGTTTACTGATGAAACGAACAATGCGTTTAAAAGTGGGCTAATTCGTATCGGTATGTCTACATACTGTACACAGATAGGAGTGTCGGCATAAGATGCGAAGCACCTTGCTCCACCACCACCACCACCGCCACCTCCACCGACGAAGCCGCAGTTGTTACCCGACGCAGTCTCCGCGGTCCACGAGGTGTCCATTCACGCACTCGGCGGGTCCGCTGCCCAACCATGACCGCTGCTGAATTCTGGACTCTGTCGATCGGTTTCCATAAACGTGCAAGTATTATTATTAGCCATGTTTGAACATGTTGCCAGTTTAGTTTGTTTTCGGTTCGGCTGTTTATAATATTTAATATTTGTTCGTCTTTCCGTATTCCTCATAAAAATAATCTTTATGAACATATAATATTTATTAAAGTTTAATGCACGCGTATTTGCCAGTTGATTGAGCTGCAAGTGTTCGTAAACAACAAAGATCAAGAAACAGATATTATACATAAAAGTATAGGTACCCAGTGCGCGCGCACGTGACGCGATGATAGTGAATGTGTCAAAACTTCAACAAATCATGAGCTTTGTGGTGAGTTTACATTATTATACACTTATACAAACATTTTATTTTACAAAATATAAGGAAACAATTGATAAAAATGTCAATCTGTTACTGGTACATCATATTATTAGGCGTTATGTTTAATAATTTCATTGTAACTTTTGAAGCCAAAGTTACAACCTAAATAGTCAAACTATAATATACTAACTATATTATTTAGTCCAATAACAATAATATTTCAAAAAAAGACAAGTATACATCTTCAGGCATAAAAAAAATGCTAATAATTAGTATAATAAATACAACGTTATACAACAATATCATTCTTAATAACATTTAAAAAAAAGTCATGGAGCCTTTCATTTGTGAATTCCGATTTTTTCAATTATATTCAATATACCCATATCTTGTCTGTGTAAATTGATACAATTTCAGTTTTTGTGTATTGTACCTACTTAATAGAAAATAAAAATATTGTATAAGTTTTAAAATTTTAAAATCATTTTTAAAAGATATAAGTATTTTGCTTATAATAACATAGGGGATCTTTCAACATATTTAAATACACAAACATTTTTTTTTATAGATTTTTTTTTCATGAGATGTATAAAATTATAAAGAAAAAGAAATTTTTTATTTTGTTTATTAGAGATGGAGATAAAATTTAAGAAATAATTTTTTTAGTCGAGTGAATGTATAGACGATAAGAACGATCAAACGACGTATTTTTCTATAGTTGTCCTCATTTCCTTACCGTATTACTGTTACACTGAACTGAAAACGAATCGTTATTTCAATAACCATTATAACAATTATTGTAAAATTATAAATAGTAAATGCATACAATAAAGTTTTTGACTTATTTATATTCATAAATCAGAATATTTATACTTTATGATTTTTATTATGGTCATATAATGTTATGTTGACATAAAAATTGTTTCTATTTTGACAATATATATTATATTCTTACTTACAACGCACTGTTATTTATTAAGTGGGTGTTTATTATTTAAGATTCATATAATATTTATCCACTTATTTCGAATTCTTTTTTAGTTTATAATGAAATCGATACACAAAGAAGAGAAACAAACATAACTACCTGTAAACATTAAAATAGGAATGTTTTATAAGTTATAACAAACTTGAGTGTTTTTTTCTCGTCAACTATTGGAGTGTTTTTAAAAAAAAATGTTGCAAATAATGACATTTTTTTGTTAATTTCTAAAATTAAAAATATCTTATTGATTTCTGAGATCTAAAAATATAAATTTATGATTTAATTATTTTCAATGTATATGATTTATATTTTCAACTTATCAGTTATTATTAGTGTATACTAGGTATACCTATGACCAAATCTATACAAAAATTAAATAATCCCAGTATATTTTTTTATAAAAAAACAACTCTAGGAGAATTTAAATTAAAACAATACTTGCACATAATATTATTACTTATTAGGTCTATAGCCTACAGTTAGTGTAATATAGTAGTATTATAATTCATGTATAAACTATTTTCTAATTTATTATGCTTACACCAATGTCATTTAATAATGTGGACAATTTGGACATCCAAATATCCAATCTAAGAGTATACAAAATGTTATAATTTAACATTTATAGATTAATTTTTTTTAATGTTATAACTTATACAAATGTCAACTGCAGGTACAGTAGTATAAGTGAATTCTTAAAATCGTAAATATTATTAATGGTACTTAGTTAGTACTTTCCGGGAGTTTAATCCATTTAAATAGTTATACCTTCCGATAGACATAATTTTTCAATTTCATCCATATTAAAATCGTGTTAGCTACCATGAAAAATCCGATAATCGATCCGCGGGAGTTATTTTTCACATTTTTTTGTGTTTTGCTTTTAATTTCACAGTATACAAAAATAATAATGCTTTCCAATGTCCGAGACAGCCTGCGGTCGGATCGAAAAATTTCTGCCGGATATCATCCAACCGTACATCCTATGCTGCTGTCAAATACTAAACGGTTCCAAAAATTCAATGCATATCGTAAAATGGAAAATAAAAATAAAAACGGCACTATAAATACAATATGCACAACATTAGTCGTAAAACGAACCTGTCGTTAAAGTCTATTAACTGTATAGGAACCTGTAGCCATTTTGATTTGTTTTTGTTTATAATGATGTTCACACATGTATAATAAATAATAATATATTAAAATAAAGTATATATAGGTGGCACCAACTGTACATACGTTTGTATATATATGTATTATTTTGGTTATCCGACAATCAAACCCTCAATTTATTAGTCGTTATTTTAAAAGGATAGGTCATAAGCAGGTATAGGTACTTATTTATTTTTAAAAAGTTTTTAAACGTTTTTATTTATTTTGTTTGTGTTGTTATACGTTGCTTGTTGTTTCAATGTTTCTTAAATAAATTTAAATATATGTTATTTTTTCTCAAAAATCAGGAGACTGGGTTTGTGTAACATATTCTGCATTAAATATGTAATGCAATATTTGCATATACTTTCTAAGTAGATATTATTCAAAAAATAATTTAAAAAAATACTTATACGAAAGAAATATACATTACACATATGTATTACACACAGGTTTCTCCATAAAAATTAAGCATGAACAACTATAAATATTAAATTTAAATCATTCAGTGAAAACATAACACACTCATTCAGATATATTATGTTAATCAGTTAATCCAAACAACAGTTGAAGTTTTTAATTGATACAGACATACAGTTCTATTCTTATAAATCTATATTCCATTGCAGATATTTTTAGATAATTTTTTTTTATAATTAATATTTAATAATATATTTAAAATTAAGGCAGTTTAATCAGTTTACGATTGCTGAAAATACATTACAAGTCATTATAATATAATATGCATATATGTGTGAATACATATTATTATTACATGTGGTATGTTAAAACGTTGATGCTGTTTATAAATTTATTATAATGTAGTTATAGTACAGTAGTACCTAACAAGTTATAGGTACTTATATAAAATATTAACGAACCCGAGCATTTAAATTATGACGTTTAACTTAACTCGTTTCAGAAATTGTTTGACGGATAAAAAAAATATTGATGGTTCAAATCAAACTTCGTAAGTAATGAGCATTGATCAATCGCCATTACATAGAAACTGACGTCTTTCTCCACTGTTGTCTGTTTGCATTTGCTTTGACTTCTAAAAATAAAAAAAACTGAAAAGTTTAAAAAGTATTACTACAAACAAACATAATAATGTACCATATTTTCGATGAGCATTATAAGTCGTATACAACAATGAACCCTCCGAGTCTCAATCGTTGTTCCTAATCGTTTTCTATACTGACTATACCATACCTACCTATAAAATCAAATATACAATCACAACTACGTAGTTCCACGAGTACTACGCTTCCTATTCGAGGCTCAACTAAACTTATTATTATTATTATTATTATTATTATTATTTATTATTACTTACACTCAGCATTTGTATACCAGTGTTATATATATTTTATTGTACAACAATTATTAAAAAAAAGTACCACTAACGAGTGTTTTTAAATCCGCATCGTCGTCACAATAATCAGGTGAAACGTGATAAATATTTTCTTTTTAATGGATGGGTCGTTGGTTGTTGTAACTATTATTATTATTGTTACTATTACTTTTAATTCGGCACGTGGATTGTGTGTGCGATTGTACAAAAGATGTGTGCGTGCTTTTTTCCCTTAAATCCTTCCGGCGCCAATCGTGATTTGCGATTATTCTCTCCTTTTATCGACGACATAATTACGATAATAAATCATATTACTATTATTACTATTAACGGCGTGATCAAATAACGTGCAGGACGTTTTGTTTGGATACTATCTCGATGATTTTTATAATATTATTAAAGCGTACTTACTACCTATGTAATATTATACTATAATAGTGGTACCTACCACCTACGCCAAAGCAGCAGTTTTTAATCGATTTCGGAGTATTCTCATAATTTCTCTTTAATAGTCATTAGTATCGTGCAGAAAAAAAAACCACTATATATTCCAAGTGCGTGCGTAAATTATAATATATTGTACAATATCATGTATCTATAAGAAAACAAACTTCTCATTAAAATAAATTACAGTCCATCGAGTTCGTTAACATATTATTATACGTATTATTTTACACTATTATGTGTTCATATTATATTATTTTACCAGTTATATATGCCGACCATAAGTATCAGACTCGCCGGACTGTCAATCGCGCACAAATCAATCTCCCCGCAGCAGGAAATCCACTTCCCGTTATATGGAGAAGGCGGCCCGATCGGTTTAAATGACTACTTAAAAGAAATCCTAATAACACGTAATTATGTTTATTATCTTGTCTCTTTGTGTGCCGTGTACACACGATATACGACTATTCCGAGCGCCTCTTCACAATTTGCAAACATTATAATAATATTATAGATTGCGATCCTTTTAGGCATTATGCGTGTATAAATCGAGTCCAGACTCTTTTTTCTTGAATTTCGCACATTATTATTTATTAGGTACTGCTTTTTATTATAATACTTTTTCATCACAAAAATAAAAGTGGTCTTGAAACAATGCGCGAACCTCACAGTACTCAACTAGATTTACTCCCCTAAACTTTCATGTAAATGTTATAGTTTAATCGCTAATTAGAAGTACAAAGTCCTACAGAACCTATAATCAATAAATTATATTAAAACAATATAGGCACGCCCCGCAATCCATGTTAATCACGAATTCAACGAAATTTATAATGTTTTTAATAGTAATAATATTTTCACGTTACTATAACATTTGAGTTTTTTTTCGTTTAGTACTTATACATAATGATGTTTTATGATCTAATCTATATTTTGTTTTCGTTAATTTTATTTTAATTATATACATACATACCCACAAGTACACAACATACATACATATGAGTATAAATAATTTAAACCACTTAAATATGAAACCTTTTAGTTTCACAAGTTAAAATAGTAAATACCTGT